ATTCCCCAATTCCCACATTCCCCAATTCCACATTCTCCAATTCCCACCTTCCCCAATTCCAACATTCCCCAATTCCCACCTTCCCCAATTTCACATTCCCCAATTCCACATTGCCCAATTCCACATTGCCCAATTCCCACCTTCCCCAATTCCACATTCCCCAATTCCCACCTTTCCCAATTCCAAAATTCCCACATTCCCCACATTCCCCAAACGGATTTGGCAGTTTAGGGCTTGATGTGTTAGAAATTTAGAAAGTATTCTGATTATAACCTCGTCCAGTCGGCCATTTTGGAAAAAGAGATCTTCAAAATGGCGGACGGCAGTGTTCGACAAATCCTGCTGAAATCTTCACGTTTGAAGGTTCAGATTCCCCAATTCCCATATTCCTCAATTCCCATATTCCCCAATTCCCACATCACTGAACCAAAGAAGATATAACAAAACTAACAACTATTATAATAGAATTATGAAATCTCGTGTGTCATCAGTTCCCTAATATCCACAGTGTCCCTAGAATCCTCAGTCCATTACTCCCTACAACCCAGTCTCCCTAAAATTATTAATTTGAAGAATCCCGAATATCAACGTGGATCCCAAAGATGCTGCGTCCTCCACATCCGCACATCTCCCTTACGACTCCATTTTGTTTGTACCTTCAACAAGTAGTGCGTAGGTTTGAGAGTAACCCGTTCGCAGAAAATGGACGTAGATTTTCCAAAGTATTCGCGATGAGAGAACTGACGAGTCGAAAGGCAGATACGAAGTTGCGGACTTTCTCCAGAGGCATGCCTCTATCCACGTAAGCGTGCACACAAGCTTCTGTGTCTACCAAACGATTCTAGACTCTTCGTCTGGCCATTCAAAATTCGCTGTATAATGTTTGCACAAGATCAATTGAGATTTCGAAGTCAGGTTTCGTAAATTGATGAAAGTTGCCGACGTTGGAGATCGATCTGTACGAGTATTCCTCAAATCACCTCCATTTTGCTTCTAAATAAATTTCTAAATAAATTTCTAAATAAATTTCCTGCATATTTTGGATTTTTTAATTCTCCTTCAGCGGAGAAGTTTTATTGTATCGTGATATTTTAATGGAAATTTGCGGAACATTAATGGACAAGTTATGTTAGGTTATGTCATATCAAATGCCGATTTCAAAACGTGAAAGTCTAACATGATTTAATAATATAGATATCGGCGAATGGCGCTTACATTTTTGTTACAGGCAACAAGTTTACACGTAACCTTTTGTTTTTTATGAAGTTAGTTAATTCTTAAAATGGCCGGTTACGTGAAACAATGAGCGGTTCGTAAACATGTCTGACTCTATAAACTGTGTTTCTGTCTGTTTAAAAACCAAAATTCCTTTGAAACAAACAATGGCGTGAATTTTCAGCCGTAAACATCAGTGAATAGGTTACGAAACAACGTAATTGTTTATTCGAAGAAATCATATGCTACGAAGCAAATTATTCCGTAAATTCAAAGTAAATTGTATTTTAATAAACACTTGTTTACAGTGATGTATCGCCATTCGTGAGAAAATGAGGAAAAAAGAATAACAGACTGAAGCTTTTTAACGATGTAATTAAAGAGAATTATGGATATTTTCTTGCGTTTAATTATAATATGAACAAGTAGAAGAAGTTATGTAGGTAATTCAATTATGATTTTTTCAATGAATGTGAAGGAATGAAAGAATGAAATAGTTGCAAGAAAGACTGTGTTTACCGGTGTGTAACAAAAGAAATTTAACAAGTACGTTCGCGTAACTGGAATGCTCGTTGGAGAATAGACGGTGTATCGCCTTGTGGTGCGTTACGACACGTAAGGAAGAAACTTAGAGTTCATGCTTTGGGTTTTGAAGTTATAAGTAAATTTCAGATTTAGGAATTTTTAGATATTACATTTCTTAATTTCAATATTCGCCAATTTCATATTCCCCAATTCCCACATTTCCCAATTCCACATTCCCCAATTCCAACATTCCCC